TTGGTGGTTTAGTGATTAATTGCTACAGTATCTTTGTATTATGTGTCCTATTGTCTTCATTGTCTTTATTATATCAGTGCCTTATCATACTCGGTCACTCGACGAATAAACACTATGCACACGGAGTAGAAATGACTAAGCACTTGTATCGCATGACTGAAATATTCTGCTACTCATGGGATGAATGGGAGAGAAGAGGGGGAACTATGAAAGTTGTGTGTGGTGGATACGGAGATACTTTTGATATGCATATGGAGAAGAAAATTCTATTTCCATCATCACTAGTAAAAAATAATACTGTTTCAGTGTATGAAATATTCAGTAAAGAAATTAACAATGAATCATACGCTACCCATGCGCCCTTGTTCTACATTTACATTCAGGAAGTCAACCAGTCAGGTGGGAGTGATGGCTAGTCGAGTTATGTTGACATAAGTAATTAGCAAATCACATTAAAGGTCATTCATCTAATACGCTTAAAAAAGCAGACTGCAGTTATTTTCAGTTGTGAAAATCAACCAATCAGGTTAGCTCACCCTGACTAACTGAATTCTTCTGAATCCACATGGATTACACTATCTTGTTTGATAGGAATACGTTTTCCGTTCAATATTAAAGCTAATCGAATAGTTCTGTGGGATTAATTTAATACTTTTTAGCACTATCTATCGTGTTCCATATATATTGTATAAACATTAAAGGCGATTCTTAAGCAGTCAGTATTGACAGAATAATTCCCCATAAAGATGTCTACTTACAAGTAATTCACAATCATCTTGTTCTAATGCCATTTTCTTGATAAATACTGATCGTTTGGGAACAGCACGTAGAACAAACTGTCGAGAGAAAAAAGTTAGAGACAGACAGATTACATAGTATCACCATAAATGTTAGAAAGTTTTAAATTATAAGGATGATCTGCTGGTTTAACAGTAAGCGGTTCTTCATCAGGATAATACATAGCTAATAGCCTGTTGGATGTTAAAACATGAATATTTATCTCTGACTAAATATTATATCGGCTGGAATTCCACATTTTTCGGTTCGTGTGCTTTATGTTACACCATCCACTTTACTCTCTAAAACAAAACACCAGTGGATTAAGCTGTGGCGTTGAAAGTAGTGGGTTTAGTATTCGAGTCAACATCATCTGCTGAGATGCCGGTACATTTAGCTGACGAGTCCCAACCGGGATAAAACGCGTGTCCTATATTCAATTTACTAACCACTAAGAAGTAATCCATAACGAAATTTCAACAGTTCAGAGGATACAATGAAATGTGCACTATTGAAAAATCAATTTTTCAACGGTTAAATCATTGAAACATCATAAGGTAGGGAAATGAATGCATTTCAGCGAACATTGTATCGCCTTCACAGACAGTTGCGAATTAGTTTCGCTAAAGTTAACCAGAGAATTCTTTAAAAACCACCGAGGATGGTATCATGAGACCAACATACATCTACAGTAGAGGTTTGACATAGAGTCTTACAGAAAAGAGGTAAGTTAGTTTTTGCAGTTGTAAAACCTTATCGAAGGAGACTTCTAGGACAGTTTACTCATGCTTTACTGCCGTGTTCCTGAAGCAGGATGAGATTGAGGAAAGATTGATAGTGTTCAGGCTAAAATATAGCATTAATCTGACTGTTGGTTTGATTCTTGTATGAGAATGCAGACTGATACTTTGAAGCTCACATCATAGCAGAAAAAGTTCATAATCTACTCTGGGTGATATAACTCAGATTCGCTTACAGCAGCTAAAATATATCCACACTGCATCTTCATCTTAGCCTTTTCACAGTCACATTACGACATCGTTTCTACTGATTTCACTACCATTTGGTTGCCTTGTCTCTTGATATATCATGATGTGTCCTTTTATAACAAACTTATTCAATACTTTCAGGTCAAATTTTAACGCTGATATCTAACAAATCCAATGACGGATTCTAACAGCCCCACATTACTAAGAGAAGTGGTCAGCACTTGCATGGATTGGTGCTCAGACTTAATTTAACATTCAACATCAATGACTGGTAAGGTGCTTATCGGCAGACCAGAAGGTCATGGGTTCGACTTCAGCTGAGGAGTCCTGCATCAAAGCGAAACAGCCCCAAGTTTTTGATAATTCTCCAGGTGGTTTCAATTCCTGGGAAATACCACCCTAAAATCCATGTTGCTTATTTGTCTTTTTTCTATCCAGTGTGACATAGCCAAATGTTGTATTCATCTTGGTGACTTGCAGTGGAATGGAGAACGCACGTTTTGTTTTATTCGGGACTCGTCAGCTGGGTGGTGAATTCAATATGATGAATACTTGGCAGTATCCAGGGATCCACGCAGGAGCCTATCTATCAAGAAAGGTTGAACAGTACAACCATTTTTGTATCCTCTCCGCTTTGATCACACGCACACACGCTTCGCATTCATAAGTTATGATTCAATGTTAAAGTCTGAATGTGTGTGTTAAAAAAAACTGGATTAAAAGTCAGTGTACCAAAAGTTAAAATTGGGAGGGCTGGGGCAATGACCATGGAAGAGGAAGATGTAGGAGAGTCTACTCAAAAACGAAAGCCGGTAGTCTTATTGAATAGCAAATAACTGCTTATCGCAACGTGAATATATAATTTGACAGCAAACAGTAAAGTGGCTCTATTGTCCCACTGGATTATTGGTTAACGCATTTGAAGCGACGGATTCTGAGTTCAAGTCCAAGTGGGAATAACATCGCCCACTAGGGCGCGGGTATATGCAGCTGATGAGCCCCAAATAGGATGAAAAATCGTTCCTCGATTCCACTACTGGCCACCAAGATTGACATACACATGTATTCCCTTGTTTTATACTCGTTAAGGAATGTTTAGCTTAAACTTAGTTCTCTGAAAATATCCAAGGGTTAGGAAATAAACCAAAATTTTCCGTAGGCCTGTCGACTGGATATTGCAGTTTTAAATAACTGACAGGATCTTTGGATCGACAACACTTAGTAAGAAGTAAGTTTAGGAAGTAGCAGAAATAACTGTTGCTCAAAGTATACATCCTGCAGTGAAAATTCTAACTGAATTGAAACTTAATACGCCACAAGTTAGTAACAATTCTTTACAGATGATACAAACTTTAGCTGCGGGCATTAATTTGCTAATGAGTAATTACAAAACTTCGGCCCATTTATTTTTGATTGGTTGTTTAAGTCTTATCCTCTTCTGATTGGTTGACATCCATTTTAGTCAATAAATTCACATTAGAAAATAAGACATCATATCAATCAGACCAAGTCTCACTTACACGAAATGCATAATTCATTAGTTTATTATGATGCCTTATCAGTGTTTCATCATAAGCTTTTATAATAATATCACGCATTGATTCAGTACTTTTTGATTTAGCAAGATGAAGCAGTAAACGAATAACAAATTGCAATGTGCGCTTTAACCATAATAAACCAACTGATCCGGATGAGTCATCACGATTAGTCTCATTGGCCAATAATTCATATAATGTATTCACATGTAGATTGTTAGATGCACGTGACACTTTCTGTAAAAAAAAATGAAATATAAAGGTAAGACAAGTTTATAATTAGAAAAAAAAGCCAGAAAACAGTTGATTGGTTGGTTGATTAATTTAGATGCTAACAAGACAACTCTTCATGCTAAAGAATGAGAAGGTATCATTCTTTTACATAGCATGAGCATAACTATAAGGAAGTAAAATCTAGTATGCACACTATGGTTATATTCACATTTATAATGTAGAATGGTTATGCAAATAATACCAACCTGTGGTGAGAGGGAGCTTTTATTAGGGTATCAGAGTATGTGGTGTTTCCTGACAAACATACTTTCATCCTGGTATTTATTATGAGCTAGCATCGTTTTGAGAAGCATTTAAAACCTTGGAGCACTTGAGGCCCGTCTCGTCTTAGTACGCGACTCTTCCTCAGAAGTATGCACCCATGACTCTACCAGGGATCGAACTCAGAAACCTCAGATCTCGCGGCAGGAGCGTTATCATCCTGATGTGGGGTTGGAGTTCAACAGTTCACATTTTCCTACTTGGTTAACCCACAGGTCACAATGCCTCATAAAAACCTCGTGAAAACCATCTCAAAGCTTATCACTAGTGACCATTACATAGTAATCCCCGCAAACGTCTAAACTGAAAACATTCTCGGTATCTTTGGAGAGAGTTGTTTTCTGGGCTAGGCTTTTAGAAGGCAAACGATCCAGTGTCATGCTAGACATAGTCATCAGTGCATTTATCAAGCCCAACTTTGCCACAGTGTAATCTGACCGGTTCGCAGGGCTGGGCGTGAGAGTAAACTGAAGTTGATTGGATGACTTCTTAACTCACGTTTTTTCAGAGGGGTCCACAAATATCTGACTGGTTGCTTATAGTACATGGGGTCGGTTTGTTGTGAATTGGTCAGTAGTTCTGTTTGAATGAATTAGTGAAGGTCACCTCCTTACAATTGATGACACTATCATTTAATAGGATTGAAAAAAGTTCTCTTGATCTGATTCGTTAGCTGGTATGTGCTGGAGAGGGATGCTTTATGCTGACTCGTTGATTTATTCCAACTGCAGAGGAGTTCATTGCTACTCCTGGTTGATTGACTTTACGGAAGATCAAGATTTCTTTCACATTGGTTGTTTGAGTACAGAAGCTTGGTGAGTTGTACATTGGTTATCCTGGTTTTACTGACTGGTCATCCACTTTTTCTTTTTATCGAGAGTTTTCCAGGGTGAATAATCCTGCCAGTCACTAAAGTGAGATTATGGGTGAACGATGTGGACAACATCTTTGTCATCCTTGATAGAAATAATATTGAATCTACTCACAAAATAATCAATAATATTTCCAGAGAAATCAAATTCACAAAAGGAGAAAAGATATCTTGATTACGAAAAGTGACGATGGATACCCGGAAACTCAAGTGTACAGGAAAACAGCGCATGCAAACCAACTACATAAAAGTACACTACAATAGAATAAAATTAAAGGGTCTCAGAGAAAATATTTCTTCATATCTTTCAACTAAAAGGCAATAAGAAAAATTTCATCAATAGATGATTTTCTAAAAAAATAAAATCAAACCTACTGCGAAAATTTATAGAAATATCCTCCCACAAATCAAGAATATGTATGAAATGGAAACCAGATTGCTTCATTCACTTGGAATGACAGTACTTCTCCAGTCGGAGTAAACTAACAAATCAGAGTAAAGCGTCCTCTCCTCAATATATACCAATCAACCAATAGGATCCAGACAACTTCAGCACTTCAGTCAAACGGAAGTGTCGGCCAATCACAACAAGGCGACCTTTGTCAATTCGTTCGAGAGAAAAGGGTGGACCAGTCACAAGGAAGCAACATCAGTGTACTGTAAGCAAACAAAAGAATTCGACCAATCAGGTCTAGTGTACGCAAACCCACGCACTTTGAGACCAATCAGACTACACTAAGGTAAAATGGCATGTTATAAATACCCATGCACAGCCAATCGCTTCACTTCCTTGTGAAGTTCTGATGCACTGGTAACGAGGTCTAACATGGCATTGAAACGTCCACCAACTAAAAGCGTAGCCCAGATAACAACTCACTCTAAACATCCACACTGTCGGTACAAACATTTACCACAATCTTTTCAGCGTTTCGAACCAAAAATTATTGGGAATTATAATTGTAGCGAAAATCAATTCATTCTCAAAGTAATTCACTGATAGATTTCAGCCAGTACTTAAGACTTGGATGTTACTTTCGTCACCTTTGGTTTCACAATAGTCCAAGAAAACCTATAATAATGTCTTTAACTGCAGCGTCGGACGATATGTACTTGAATCAAAAAGAGAATGATCTTTTTTATTTTTGTTTTCAGAAATAACTAATGATAAAGACGCGATAATCATGAGGTGCAGAATTTATGAATCTTTGCGTTGGTTTGACTCCCCTTAGATAAAAGGATGTAACAACTTGAAATGATGTACAAAACGCTGTATCATCCACGGTATCTTATACCGCCGATTCTTAACATCATGCGAACTCTATTAATGTAAAAAAGAATATATTTCATAACCCATGATACTGAATGTGTTGAATACTGCCTTAATAAATCAGGCAGTCTGACTGGTAGTTCCAATGATATCAACTAATAGACGCTCATAGAAATGGAGAGGGTTTTTTAATTAATAGTACTTTGGGTTAACAACAGGACTCAAACTATCACTCCACAAGTTAGTAGTCAGAGTTAAAAGACCCTATTAATGGTCAGATTTCAATCTCATGTCAGTCATCAATGGTTTTGTTCAGCTATCATGTGAGTGATAGATTCAAAATCTTCACAAGTAATAACAATGAATAACAACTTGAAATAATTCCAAATCTTCACAACTCCCTCAAAATTTAACTGAACTAGTGCTCATTGGTGACTAGCTTCGAGAAGTATTCCCGAAGTTCCAATGACAAGTCGTGACCGGTCGAGTCAAAGCCTGATGGCCGTGAGGACAAATACTCAACGATGACATTGGGTGGCGGTTTGCGCTATATCGTGAGCTAACAGAAGTTGGAAATATGGAGCATTGGATTGTGACCCAGTGGCTCAATGGTAGCGCGCTGGCGGCGGAACCTGAAGGTCGCGGGTTCCATCCCTACTGGTGGGGTCGTGGGTGCGCACTGCTCAGGAGTCCCATACTAGGACGAAACGGCTGTCCAGTGCTCCCAGGTTTCCTTTGTTCCTCCAACTGATGTCAGTCTACGATGAATAACAACTTCACAAGTAAGTCTTTTTGTTCGAAACTATATTGGCATACAAACAAAAACTTGTTTATATCAGTATAAAAAGTTATACAGTGGAAAAATTTTACTTTAAACTTACTTTAATATTCCCATCCACATCATTTTTTAGGAGAATGAATCTTGAATCCCATAAACCTGAATATTTAATTTAGTGGTTAAATTTCCTTTTAAAAGAACTACAGCAAAGTATGGTTACTTACCGAAAAATTCACAAATCATTGTAGATAAATGTAAAAATGTTGGTATATCTAAACTTTTTTCATCTTTAAATACTGGTATATTAGAGAAAAATGTAATCATTCTGTCTTCTGCTTTCTGAATGGGAGTGAGTAAGGTGGAAAGGTGGATTTATAGACAGATATTTTCTCAATGAACAGGATAATTGTATGAAAATAGCAATTCAGTGCACAAAAATTGTGTATACTTGAGAAACCTAAAAGAAAAATTATTAATAAATGTTTCAGGATAATATTTAAAGGTTTGTATAACAAGAGATTCAACGGTCGATGGTTGCTATCTTGACGTGGTGGTCATACCTGCACATCACAGTGACCTAACTAGCTACACTGGTTGAAACGCTTGTTTCCTCGACGTTCTACCATGCTAGATAGCTTTGTTGGATAGTGATAAGATGAGAAGCAGTTACCCACATTGAATGGGAGTTCGAAGGCGAAGTTGTACTATTGATAACTGGATAGGGTGTGACAGCAGTAAGTTGGTTCGCTTCGATGATCAGCAGTGTCAGGCTGATGTCACCTTCCTTATGGTAAGCTGGGTTAGGAATGGTGGGCTTTAAGAACAGCACACTCCTTCCTGCTTCACAGTCTTCTTATGCCAGGGAAAAAAGTCTCAAAACAACAATCCGCGAAAGTCCCGGGTGTGATAGGCTCTAACCATATGTCCCATCGGCTTTACAGTTACCTACTATCCCTACTTTTTCAAACACTTCACGAAGAAGTAGCCTTCCACGGCATGGACAGCTGGAAAGTGTCAACCACCCACATGCTTCCAGCAGTAGACGAGACCCAATCAAACATAACCTATCTTCCTCAACTCTGTCTCCTCCTTCGCCTTCACCACCTGACACTAATATTCAGCTTCTTTTACCTTCCTCAACCTCTCACTCTGCAACCATTGCCGACGATCAAAGCCATCTTTGAAGACCCCATCATCGATTTCAAGTCCTATTTTTCAACATACGAAATCTATGCCAAATCGGACAGCAAGCATGGCTTGCCATAGATGCATGCTGTCGGTGAAACATGTCTACAGGAACAGAGTGTAGTTGTTGACCTCACATGCCTAGACAATAGGTTCGAGAAAACCATTACTACAAGAATAAGCTTAAATAGTGGTGATAATCAACGTAAGTTGTACAAGAGTTAGCTATCACAGTTCATCTGTCTGACAACAGTTTGAATCCCAACATAGTCATCAAACACAAGGATCTAGATTTGCCCAGGTAATAAGCTCAAAGTACAGCTGTGTTGAAGTTAGTTGCTAAGTCTCACCAAAGTTTAAATAGACGGAGAATAGGGTTAAACTTTTTAGAAGACAGAACTAGTGCAAGAAAAGAAAACAAAAGTAGACAATGTTTATGTTTATGGGCACATTATTTTTGGAAATGTAGTAGTGAATTATAGTGTATATTGATTTTGCGCAAAACTGAACACAATCGAACGTAGGTTAGCATGTAGTTACTTGACGTATAACCATGGAATGACACAATAGAGCAACAGTTCAAGTTCACAACAACGCAACGCAACAGAAAACCGAAGAAAACAAACAAACGAGAAGTAGGAACAACTGATGAAGAAGGATCTCACGATATTGAGGAGGAGGGAATGTGAAAAGACCTGCGACAATATGATTAATTTTCAGTTAAATCATTATTGCGAATTTTAAAAGCAACTAAGTGTGTCTATTTGATGTAACAAATTTAAAAAGAAACTTTTTTAGATCAATCACTAATAAATAATATAAATAAGGCGAAACTATTCAAATGAACCAATAGCTTTCATAGGGATAAAAAATCAATAAAAATACTTCGGTATAACTTTATTGATAGGAAGCTGCCTGAATAAGAATCAACATTTTAATTCATAAGCTGGCAAGATAAAAGTTTTTGCATTTCATGTTACTCCCGACCGATAGCTGCTACCTTGACGTGGTGGTCGGGCTTGCATATCACAATGACCCAACGAGCTATGCTGGTGGAACGCTTGTTCCCTCGAGGTCCTACCATACCAGAAAGGTCTGTTGGGTAGTGGTTAGACGAAAAGCAGTTACCGTTATAGTGTAAATTGCTACACTATGATGGGGGTCTGAGGGCGAAGTCGTACTGCTGCTAGCTGGATGGGGTGTGACAGCAGTAAGGTGTTTCCCTTGGATGACCAGCAGTGCCAAGCTGATGCTGCCTTCTCAGTGGAAGGGGGGTTAGAAAAGGTCGGCCCCAAAAATAACACACTCCACCACGCCCCACGGTCTGCCGGGCCGGCGGTGTTGGTTCACTTGTCGTTTCCTTTCGCCCATCCGGCCCCAAAAATACAAAAATTCAAAATAATCATACTCAAAAGGCTGGGTGTGACAGGCCTCAAGCAGATGTCCGATGGGCTCTGCGGTCACACAAATCTCTTTCAGGTACCTTAAGAAGAAATAGCCTTCCACGGTGTGGGCAGCCGGGAAGTGTCAACCGCCCTCACAACTCTGTCAGCACCCAAGTTTCTTCTGACTGCTATCCTCCTCCTCCATCATTACCTTCTAATCTTCCTTCACGTCTCTTAATTAATGATGCTGCATCATCTTCAATTTCTCCTACCTCTGCAGCCTTCGACAACGATCTGAGTCCACAGAACAGCATCCCTGGTCTCCTTAAACCACGCTCCAAATTACATATTGGAGCCTTCAATGTCCGCACCCTCCGTCAAATTGGCCAACAGGCTTCGTTGGCAAAGACTCTAGCAACTCGGGCATGGATGTGTGCTGTGTTTGTGAGACACGCATACAGGACCCAAGTGTGGTTATTCACCTGACCTCTCCTGACCAATCTGGTGAATCTGCAAAATTCACCCTTCGAGTTTCTGGAGATTCGATAGCTAGCTCTCGTGGTCTTGCAGGTGTAGGTATAGCATTAAGCACCAGGGCAGAAAACTCACTACTAGACTGGATCCCAGTTGATAGTCGCCTCTGCGCTATGAGGCTGAACGGCACAGTGAGAACTAAAAGGAATAGTGAGACTCGCCGTTGTCTCTTTGTAATCTCTGCTTACGCACCCACTGACTGTAGTTCGGATGAAGTGAAGGACGAGTTCTACCATAAACTGTCTAACCTCCTCTCGAAAGCCAAACGTTCGGACGTAGTGGTTGTTGCAGGTGACCTCAACGCACAGGTGGGTAGACTGAGTGAGGCAGAAAGGCACTTAGGTGGCACTTTCGGAATCCCAGCTGAACGTACAGATAACGGTGATCGCCTATTACAACTATGCTCAGATAACCGCCTATTTTTAGCCAGCACAAATTTCAGACATAAAGAAAGGCACTGTCTGACCTGGCGTCCACCGAGCTCGACTCAGCGATGGACACAGATAGACCACATTGCTATTAGTCATCGCTGGAGAGGATCGGTGGAAGACTGCCGCTCCTTCTGGAGTACGTGTTTGGACAGCGATCATGCGTTGGTCCGAGCACGTATATGCCTGCGTCTCAATGGACGTAGAAAAAATTTGGCAACAAAACCACTACGAGTTCTGCTGGACAACGAAAACACCAAAGCCGTGTTCAGTGAGAAGTTGGCTAGGCAGTTATCGGAACAAAAGACTGTCACTCATCCAGAAGAAGCTTGGTGCCATCTTCAGTCTACTGTAAAAGCAGCACTGGAGACTGTAGCCGACTCCAAGATAATGGCTAAAAAGAGCCAGTGGATATCAGCAGCTTCTTCCAAACTAATGGATGCACGTGAATGCATCCCTGCAGGCTCTGAGTACAATGAAGAGCGAGCGCAACTTAAAAATAAACTGACGAAAAGTCTGCGCAACGATCGTGAACAGTGGTGGGCAGCAAAGGCTAAAGAGATGGAAAAGGCAGCGGCGATCGGTAACAGTAGACAGTTATTTAGACTTATTAAGGAGACTGGGGGGAAATGGTCAACAACAGTTAGTGAGGTTATAGCGGAGAAGGACGGATCGGCGATTCACTCGCAGGGAAGGCGACTGGGACGATGGGCAGAACACTTTGAGGAACAGTTTAACTGGCCTCCAGCCACCATTGCGCTGCCCGCTATCCAGTCGGACCCTGAATGGGACATAGAGACAGGTCCCCCAACACTAGAAGAAGTTGAGAAAGCGGTAGGTAGCCTGAAACGGGGAAGGGCAGCAGGACCAGACGGACTACCTGCTGAGGTATACAAGAATGGTGGTAGAGTTCTCTTAGTCAGGCTAACGGAAGTGTTAGCCAGTATATGGGAATCAAATACGATCCCCTCCGACTGGTCTAAGTCACTCATCATCCCAGTCTTCAAGAAAGGCGAGAAGTCCTCTTGTGATAACCACAGAGGAATCAGCCTGACAAACATAGTGTCTAAGATCCTAAGTTCTATAATTCTCCGACGCCTGAGTGGAGCTCGGGAACAGCAAGCCCGAGAAAACCAGGCAGGCTTTAGACCTGGCCGTGGATGTATCGACCAAATATTCACACTGCGCCAGGTCCTGGAACATAGGCATGCTTACAGACGCCCGACAATAGCTGTATTTCTCGACCTGAAGGCGGCATTTGACTCCGTTGATCGAGAAGTCTTATGGCAGTGTCTGTCACTGAAAGGCGTGCCTAGTAAGTACATCACCTTATTGAAAGCTCTCTACTCGAACACTTGTGGGCATGTTAGAGCCTATGGTGAGTTGTCCAGGGAGCTATACTCATCAAGTGGTGTCCGTCAAGGATGCCCACTATCCCCATTCTTATTTAATTTTATCATAGATATTCTTATGGAGGTTTCCCTCTCGTCACCTAATTACAAAGACGTTGACCGGATCACAGGTGAATTTTCCTTAGATCTAGAATATGCAGATGACATAGTCCTGTTAGGTGAAGACGCTGACAAGATGCAGAGTCTTCTGAACACTTTGAGTGGGAATTTGAGAATGTTTGGGATGCGATTTTCACCACCCAAATGCAAATTTTTGCTCCAGGACTGGTCTTCAGCGGTACCGCGGTTAACAATAGAGAGTGAAGTGGTTGAGTGTGTTGACCACTTCACTTACCTGGGAAGTAGGATCAACCCGGTGGGTTAGTTGCCGATGAGATTTC